CATTGTACAGTGGCGTTAAAGGGCCGTTCAAATATTACATAAGCAGATTTTTTACAATGATTGACCCCCCCATCCTCCTTGTCCGCAAAAGTAAGAATAGATCTTACCCCCTCCCCCTATGCTTACGTAAACATTTTAAATTATATCTTTTTTATACATATTGTAATTTTAATATTCTCTTAGATGCCATAATGTCTATTTCGTTGTCAGTCTTTGCTTGAAATCTATAATTTCATTAAGAGAGTAGCCATTCGTGTAAAAAAGTAAATAACTACCGATGACGTAATCATCTAGACTCCCCTACCCCCCATATCATCCAAAATAAGCGAAACAGGGAAATGGTGCTTACGTAATACTTGAATGGCCCCTAAGTGCTATAATGTGCACCTCTGCCTACCCCTTCGGGAGGAAAGGCGTGATGTCATATACGTAAAAAGATTAACTTACCGATGGATAGTCTGTATCGTTCCATAAATCTTCTTCATACCGTCTCAACCCATCAGTAATAACCTGAAAACAGACGAAAATACTTTTATTAATATCATAAAAATAGTAAGTACTTACATTAATATCTGTTATCGCCAACCCCTACAAAATTTAAAGAAACGCTAAAAGTAAGCTAATCGGGTAAAAGTACTTGCCAACTAGTCAAATTCAAAACTTTTTTCGAACTGTCAAAAACGACAGTTTTCTATGAATTTTGTACGAGATTGTGTATTGTGACGTCACGTTTTTTAAGCGTCAAACAGCATAGTTATTTCGTAAAAATTTGCTGGAAATATACTAAAATTAAGTTGTTTTCGAAATCAATTAATGAAAGTGTGAATATTTTTTAAACATTTTATTGTATTGAACAGTCGAAATAATTTATTTTTGATCAAGAACCCAATTCATTAATTGGCTAGTTTCCTAGGTTTAAAATAAATTGTTTTAACTTTTCAATGCAATACATAATTAAAAAATAATCATAGTCTCATCCATTGATTAGACAATTTACCTACTTTTGGATATTTTCTCGCTAATTTTAAGGAAATAAGTATGCTGTTTGACGCAGAAATATGATGACGTCATAAGTTGCGGTCCAATACAAAATTCATAGAAAAGTATCGTTTTTGACATTTCAATAAAAGTATTGAATTTGACTACCTGTCAACTACCGTATTGTAGCAAAAAGTAACAATATTGTATAATATAAGAGCGTCACTATCGCCAACAAATTGTTATATAGTTTGGTGATTCTTGAGGTAAAAATGTAAATAAAAAAAAAATACATTAAACGACTTTCGTCCGATAGCCGTCGTTAAGTCGCATTGATACTTGCCGTTGGTAAGAAGAAAGAAAGAAAGAAAAAACACCAGCCACGATGCAGCATAAATAAAATATAAAAAGACAATAAAGGTGTGTCAGTGGAAGTGAGAAAAACATTAAGTTAAAAAATTAAAACAGAAGAATTAGAAGAGAGACGCTGACAACATGCCTATGCTAAAAGGGTCAACCACTCAGTGTAAGCCAGGCATACAAGACTGGTTACTTTTTACTTTGGTAGGTTTCGAAGCCGTATCATCAAGTATGAGAAGCGGGCGTCTTAAACCTCCGGGCACCACGACATTTTAATAAAATGAATAATATAATATTATAAGTATTGGTGTACCTGTTCGAGGTCCTGTGTGATCTTGGTGCGAGTGTTCCAGTCCCCCTGGCGGTCGTGGCCGTCATGCTTGGGCTGTCGGGCGGCAGTCTGCGTCACTATAAGCAGGCGGCCGACGTCGCGGTCCGTGAATTCTGCGTCCGATTCCTCGTCAGACCTGGGGATTAGTGATAATTGAGTATAGGTATGTGTAAATGTTATTTTTTTTTCAAGGGGGGAAAATCATCGAATGACTGCTCCCGCCTGGGTGAGGCGGAAGGGAGTGTCGGACTCTTACTGACTAAACACCACCCCGTTCCTTCTCCTGCACGTCGAGCCGGAGCCCCGGTTACCCGTTAGGTTCTCCGCGACTGCTCCCATGTCCCAACAGCTAGTGTTTTATAATAGTTCAAAGATGTTATTACTTACAGATGTTAATAACAGAATTTCTGGATGGACTTACGGTAAAAATTAACCAAATTCGATCCAAAAACCATGAATCACAATGACATTTTGAAAAATTACAAAACAAGTGATTAATAAAACTCGCAGTAGCAGTACGGAGTCTGGAATTGCGTCCGGTATATGGCAATAGGCTCAACCCCTATTACATGGGACTCATAACATAAATAGTGAAAAGTGGGTGTTACATTGTGCAGTGGCATTAAGTGCCGTAATGTGCACCTCTGCCTACCCTTTCGGGGATATAAGGCTTGATATTATGTTGAGGTTCAAAAGTTCTTTCTTGGACTAATTGAAATGCATAGTTTTGATTTTTTAGCTTACGTACCAAGCGTCAGTGAATGTGTTATGCCTGGGCGGCGGTAGCTCCAGTTCCTCGTCGAGCTGGAAGTGTAACTCCTCGCGAGGCTCATCTTCCGCTGCAGCAGCTGTACGCTCGCGGGAACCAGCCTTTGTACGGCGTTTTACCTGTAGAAGTAATTAATTATATGGTTACAAAAACAAATACACTTCCGGACACTTGAATCGAGCCACATTACATTCCTTCATTCATTATTTATGTACCACAATAACTTTATTACGAAATAAAAATGTATGGAGTCTGGGCCCATTTTACAATATGGGCATTATATACATATTATTTTATTGTCCGTCTGGTAGATAATGTTAAAACATTATTATTCTTGTCATCGTATACCTAACAAGCACGGCTGCAACCCAGAAATGTCATTGTCATTTAAACTGTCAAACACCAAGCGGTCACCGGTGACCGCAACCTATTGTTCTATAATTGTGTCTATAATGACGGTACTCGACGAGTTAAATATGAACTTTAAATCGTATATCCTATGACTATATACATTTATACATATTATTTTATTGTCCGTCTGGTAGATTATGTTAAAACATTATTATTCTTTTCTAACAATTATTAAATTATTTTTTTATTACAAGACGGCGAGCACGTGGGTGATTTGCCGCCCGACCAGAACCAGTCCTGAGCGTACGGCGTCTTGCGTTCCGCGCGCGCCTCAAAGAGCCATCAGACCACCGGGGAGGGGGCCCAGTAGGGCTGATACGGAGCCACGAAGGACTATATGGGTTGCCGGGGTTCCGGCACGAAGTGCAGGAGTAGGAACCGAGTGGTTTTTAGTTAGTAAGAGTTTGACACTTCCTCTCGCCTCACCCAGGCGGGAGAAGTAATATAATGGTTTTACACCCTCAAAAAAGCATTTAATGTTCCGATGTGTACCACGATACGTAATGTCATACGTAAATTAATGTATCAGTTTTTAAATGTGCAATCTGAATAATGTGGTATCTAAGTAATTAATATTGCAATCGTTTTAAGTTCTTTTCTTGTATCCTAGGATGTAAGTGTTGTGGCTCTCATTGTAAATTTTATTTTAATGTCAATAAATAAATACAGAAGTTCGTTCGAAGAATAGTCGGAGGATCCCCCCTTTTCCGATCTTAGGGAACTTTACTCTCTGTTTCCTAAATATGACTAATTAATTTCTGCCTACCGCGACGTCTGTGATAGTGAATGGAGCCCACTCGCGGTAAGCCCAGAAGGAGATGGCGGGATAAACTTCACGGCTATGAAAAGGATTAGCCACAGAAAGCTACAAGATAGTGAATGGTAGGGAAACCTTTGCCCTGCAGTGTGACGACCAAAAATAAATAAATAAAATAATTAGTCTGTTGTACATTGTCAAGGCAGTCTGACTGTCCAGGGTATAGTGGTATACGATGGTACGGTTTTTGTGTCCGCAATACTAAAATAGCTTAGGTCGCGTAGTCACCCCTTATTAGCCACCCCGGTACCGCGAAGTCACGCACTCAAATACTTGTTCGTGTATTACCCACGTTCACTGATCTCTTGATATTCGCCCCTCATTGGCTGCTCCGGTACCGTGAAATCGCGCATGCAAATGCGTGTTCATGTTTAATGATCTCTTAATATTCGCCCCTTTATTAGCTGTTTCGGTACCGCGAAATCGCGCATGCAAATACTTGTTCGTGTATTGAACATGATCAATGATTTCTTAATATTTGTCCCCCCTTCCCCTTATTGCCTTTGTTGGTACCGCGCAGTCTCGCAAATGTAAATGCTTGTTCGTGTATTAAATATGATCAACAACCTCTTGATATTCGCATCAGAGTGTTAACTGAATTACTTCTGTTCCCTATCCTTGACTATGATGCCAGCTTGACCTTACTGAGAAGCAGTTATATAAGCTTTGAAACTCTTAATCAGGTTCATATTTGGTTTGCGCAACCACGACTCACGTCATCTTACTTATCTTATATCTTATCTTATACTATTGTATAAAGCGGAAGAGATTGTTTGTTTGAACGCGATAATCTCCGTAACTACAAGTCTGATTTGAATAATTCTTTTTGTGTTGGATAGCGCATTTATCGAGGATGGCTATTGGCTATGAAAAATCAGGCTACGACCAATAGGAGCTGAGAAGAGCATGTGAAACCGCGCGGAAGTAGCTAGTAATATTATAAAGGCCGAAATATTTGTCTGTATGTTTGTTATGCAATCACGTCAAAACGGCTGAAGGGATCGGGATGGAATTTGGAACAGGGGTAGAGTATGGTGTGGAATATAACACAGGCCACTTTTTATCCCACAGGAACTAGATCCAAGCTGCAGGCAGAAGTTAGTATCACGATAAACTCAAGTGGCTGTCAATCCGCCTTCGTCAGAATATTCATATCTTGTCCCTGCTTTACGGTATTCTGTTCAACCTTTATACTTTCTCTTAGTTAAAAAAAAAATGTCTAAAGTTCCTTAACTCGTCGAGTACCGTCATTATAGACACAATTATAGAACAATAGGTTGCGGTCACCGGTGACCGCTTGGTGTTTGACAGTTTAATGACGCACATTCGAGATCACAGAGGTCGTCTGAGAATCCAATTTCGATCGATCGACATTGATATTGTAAAAATTTTATCTTCAGCAGGGCCGTCGTGAGCACACAATAATTGGGGCCAATTTGTAATGTTTCTTTTTTATAACGTTGCCCCAGACTAGGATTTTCTCCTGTATCGTGGGTGCGTTTACAAACATACAAGTTTACAATATCACATACACCCAGGGCGCTTACCTACTCTTGAAACCAATCTCAATGTCATAGCAATTTCAATCCAATAAAATCTCAATAATTATTCAATGTCAACACTATACAACCACAATCGTAGCTGTTACAATAGCATTCAGAGTACGGAATATAAATAACTCAATAACATTTAATTCATTCAATATCCACGCAATACGGATGCAATGGGCGCTAGTGTTGCGACTCAAGAGTACGAAATTTCACAATACCAATGTCGATCGATCGGAATTGGATTCAAGAGTAAGCCCCCAGACCCGAAACAATAATTTGTGGATCACATAAGGTCAGCTAAAAGTTATGCAGTAGCCAATTGCAACATGTAGCGGGTGTATGTTCGTCGTAGGAATTGTAGGTCCTTCAGGGCACGGGCCTCGATTGCCCTAATGGTACAGACGGTACTGCTCTTGAGTTGCAACACTAGCGCCCATCGTAATCGTCATCAAGGGGGGAAGGGGAGAGGGGTGTACAAAAAACGCTAAACAACCGGACTGAGGTAATGGATAGCCGCTTGGTAAATTAATGTTCAAACTTGTAAAAAATATATATTTATTGGTTATTTTTCATAATTGTATTGTATTAATTTGTTTTATTGTTCATTATTGTTATTTCTATTGGTTTCTTCGGTATTATTGTTATTTTTTAAAATTGATTTTTATCTTGTTTGTGTAACGCACTATGTGTCTCGATGTCGTTATTTCTTTTCCTGCCACAGGCCCACTTGGAATTCCAGTTGGAATATGTGGGGCCTATGTACTCTGTGTTTATATATGTATTGTCCTTTATGTTGAATGTGTGCACATAAATCCTTACTAATATTATAAATTGGAAAGTGAGTTTGTTTGTTTGTTCCGCTTTCACACCGTAACTACTACACCAATTGCTTTGAATTTTTGCAGACGTAAAGTTAGAAGTCCGGATTAAATAATAGAGTACTTTTTATCCCGGAAAAAAATTATATTCCCGAGGGAAAACAAAAGTATTGGTATAGATGGCGCTGTGTGTATTGGTAAATATGTCACATAGGCTACTTTTTATCCTTTTGTGACGCGAGCGAAGCCGCGAGTAAAAGCTAGTAATAAATAAAAACAAAATCTGTCAAAAAAATTACTTTATTATATAAACGGTACGTTGTAAGACTTAGTTTTTTTATTCTATACGTACCTCAGTCCAAACTTGTTCTGAGTTGGGGCTGATGGTCCCCGAGCTTGGTCTGTCGTCCAAACTATCGGATTTGTCGTTGCACTCCTCTGTAACAAAGAAAATAATAATAAAAAATCTGTAATAATTTAAGACCTAACTAAAAGAGAGAGTGGTGGTCCGGAGGTTTAACATGCCTGCTTCTCATGCACGAGTGCGCGGGCTCGATCGAAACCTACCAACGACAAGTACCAATGTGACTTTTTCCGAGTTATATGTACTTTCTAAGATTATTTAGACACCATTGACAAACGGTGAAGGAAAGGAAAGGCTTATAATTTCTAATTCTAAGTTTTAAATTGCCACCCGCATTGAGCAAGAATGGTGATGATTAATGCTCAAACTTTCTCCGTGTGAGAAGAGGCCTTTGGTCAGCAGTGGGCACTTATAGGCTGTTGATGAAGACAGAGAAAAAGGAGAAGAGGCTCAAGTAAGTCAATATTATAAGCAAGCATTTTTACTAAAAGATAAGTCCGCCACAACCTCCCAAAACCGTTGCAACTTCTGTACACCAGGATCTACAGTAGATACAACCATTAAAACACCGGAACACTGAAGTCCGGCGCGTCCCAGGGACATGAGTAACTGTCTTGGTTCCCGCAACGAAATTAATCAGAAGATATTTTTAGAGGAGAAGGAAGAACACCCCTAATAATAATTATGTGTCCGTCTATATATGTATGCATGTATTTTTTGTATACATAAATAATATACTACGACTGCCTCGTTGGCCGAGTGGTCGCAAGTGCGACTGCCGGACAAGGGGTCTCGGGATCGATCCCCGGGTCGAGCAAAGTATCACTGGGATTATTAAAAAAATATCAATAGAAGCACGGAGTCTGGATTTGTTCCCGGTATATGGCAATAAGGCTCACCCTCTATTACATATGTATGACTCATTATATAAATAGTGAAAAGTGGGTGTTACATTGAAGTACAGTAGTATAATGTGCACTTCTGCCTACCCCTTCGGGGATAAAAGGGGTGACGTTATGATATAAATAATACAGTTTAACTTACCATGTCGTAATGCAAGCGGCACGAACTCCGGAACGTCGGGGTTGAGCGAATCGTGCGCGGCAGCCCCGCCCGCCAGCCCTCCGCGACCCGTGCGAAACATTCTGAACAAATAAGACAAACATATACCAACTGCTAATATAGTTCACAAAGAGATAGATTACGACTTAATTTACTAGTTAACTCGTCGAGTACCGGTTTTGCAGACACAATTATAGAACAATAGGTTGCGGTCACCGGTGACCGCTTGGTATTTGACAGTTTAAATAAGAAAGAGCCATGCTTCGGCACGAATGGGCCGGCTCGACCGGAGTGATACCAGGGCCGAGCAGGAAACCGACGTGAAACAACGCTTGCGTAGTGTTTCATCGTGTGAGTCAAAATACCGGGGGCTTAATGACCGCCTCCCCCCTTCCTTAATCTCCCCAATCCCTCCTCAAAAGGCCGGTAACGCACTTGTAACTCCTCTGGTGATACAGGTGTCCATGCGCGACGTTGATTGCTTACCATCAGGTGATCCGTCAGCCTCGTTTACCAATTCATCCCATAAAAAAAAAAACTGCACAGAATGAACGCTCTGCGTATTGCACGTGTGCCTATCCCTTCGGGAATAAAAGGTATGGTGTTATGTTGCCTACAACATAGTCAACAACTTTAGTTAACACTATGTGTTTGTGTGTGTGTGTGTTTGTGTGTGTGTGTGTGTGTAAATATCGCGATCATTACCTACTAATGACACGTGTTTAGGCGTGTTTTTATTTAAATAAATGTAAAGTTTGTCGCGTCACCACTGCACCCGTCCCGGCTATACATCGTCGGTACGGAACGCCGAGCGACTCGGTTACTGTAGCACTCGCATTCGCAGTGACTGTACACGACATTACACTCGTATACAGTGGACATATAGTGCAATACAAAACGGTATTTTATTCATATATTCCAATTAGTAGCTAAATTTAACTCAAACAAACAGACGGATACTTGCCTGTGTAAGTATTCATATACAAGTATTCCGTTCAATTACAATTCTACACCGTGAAATCTATTTAGTTTCCGTCCCGCGGCAAAATAACTCGCCATAAGGAGTACTTTCGAAGTATAAAGTAAAAACAAAACAATAAAGATGAAGAAATTTTCGTGGAAATACGCACATGAAACACTAGACGTAAACTTGTAGGCACTATTCGCATCGCACGTGTCACCCGACGAGAAATACCTCTTCGAGAATTACATGGCGTGATGTTTTGATAATGTACTGTAATGAGTTCGTATGCGCTTTCGAAGTTTGCTTTTTGCAATACTTCACTCGTTATTCTGTTATTTCCTTGTAAAACTATTGTATTACCGAGACAGAACCATTTTATTTTACTTCGGGGCGAAAACGATATAGATTACATGATGTATAATTATTCGACCAATATATAGTGTGATTCCTGATGAAGTTAAGATGTATAAATATTAGATAATGTATAAACGTACCTCGGTAGCGGTGGCGGAGGCACGGCCCTGAGGAGTGATGAAACTGGCGCAACAAGAGGACCTCCCATCGTCGGCAGAGGGAAGATACCCACCATCTGCTTCTTACGGCTACAACAAATAAATAGTGATTAATGTCTAAGCAGGATAAAGGTCTGCGATAGGCGATGTATGCAGGTCGCTTCCAAACTCGCAATGTGTAGTCTAGGGGAGGACTGTGGGAGGCAGCTACAATATCCTCATTCCCTACAATATGGTTGAGTTGGGCGGTGCTGGTGTACGTGTCATGTTCGTGAACGGGCGCCGTCAACTAGGACTGATCACCTCTAGACTGTATTATTACCTTTTTAATCTTACATTTCTTATTCTCCACGGACTTTTGTCCGTGCCCTTGTCATTCCATTACATTTTCTTTTAATTTACAGTCAAAATTACTTGTTACAGACTGTATTATTTACTGTCCTATAAGTTTTTTTTTTCCATCTCTTTGACTAACATCCTATTCACTCGGGTCTTGAAGACACCTAGGTATACCGTTCAGGAAACGAAATACAGACTCTGGGAAAGAATTCCATATCTTAGCAGTATGCAAAGCTTGATGCGAAGCGCTTCGTGCATGTAGGTGGGACATCTACCACGAATCGGTGACGGTTCGCCGATTCAAACCGAAACCTCCACAAAACCCCTCAAAAATCACTTACCGTTTTTCACCAGGCTTCTCTTCATTGCCCTCAGACTGCAGTGGCGGATCATCAGTGGGGTCTACTGGCTTATTGCCTTCGAGCTCTGCCTCTTTCTTCTTCTCTTCTGCGTTCTCTCCCACTTCTAATACTGCGGATACTTCTGGTATATCTTGATCGTGTATCTCCTCTACTGTGGCCGATGGTTGAGAGGGTTGCTGTTGTGTCTGTAATTTTTTTTTAATATTTATATTATTGAGGTGTTTTTTTTTTGGTTAGAATTTGATAAGTCAAAGGTCTCAATAACCGAATAACTGTTTTTTAATAATAACTATAGTGAGACATACTAAATTAACTAAAAATCGCGGGTTACTCACGTGAATATACTGAGAAAAGCTCTACCACAGAGGTTACACTGAGTAGGCTGCGCGACATCGCCGCGACCGCGCACGCTGCTCATGTGGAAGAACCCCTCTGTGGTTCGAAACTAGTAGAACTTTTCTCAGTATATTCACGTGAGTAACCAGCGATTTTTAGTTAACTTAGTATTTATTTGGTCGAAGTTAAAAAGCCATTCATGTAGGATTTTAACATTAGTTCAATTTTAACTTTTATTAAAAATCTAGATTAAATAAGTTTAATTAATGTATTTATTATGTCGGCCATTGTCAAGTACTTAGGTATTATTACGTCTAAGGAGTTTATACTGAAATTATTTAATTATACCGGCCATTACATTTCATATATCTAATAGTAGACTGGTTATTGAGACTTAGTTTTAATAGAACATAAGATTATTAAAACATTGACTAAAAATGTTGCATTAAGCGTAAAATTGTCGTTGTACAGTTCGCTATAAAAGTGTTTTATGCATAAGGCATTCAAATTAATTTATTACAATACTTTGTCAATGTAATTAAACAAGTTTTGTACATATTTATGATTTTAATAAAATTTAAATGAACAAAATATACTTGGGAACAAATGGAGCCACTTGCGTTTTTTGTTTTCATTTTATCAAACCCTCCATAACTTTCAAAAACAGCATTCTTTTTACAACAAAATGCTCTGATTTTACATAACATAACATCACTCCTTTTTATCCCCAAAGAGGAAGGCAGAGGTGCACATTACGGCACTTAATGCCACTGTACAATGTAACATCCACTTTTCACTATATACGTTGTGAGTCCCATGTAATAGGGGGTGAGCCTATTGCCATATACCGGGCACAATTCCGGACTCCGTGCTACTACTGAGATTTTTTTAAAACCCTGTTATACTTTGCCCGACTCGAGCTCCTTGCCCGGCAGTAGCACTTGCGACCACTCGGCCAGCGAGGCAGTCTGATTTTAAAGGTAACTAAATTGTCTAATATACGACATACGTTACCAATTAATAAAATACTTGTATTAGAAATTATTTATCAACATAATACAATACAAGCTTATAGCTTAGTTTGGAGGGCAGTGTCAGTATAGAAATTGACGTGTAAAAGTGCTGCCTTGTAGCCTATTTGCAGAAATAAATTCACTTGTTTCACTTGATCGTAATTCACACTCGTTCATGTAATTGCCGTATTTCTGTGAATGTAATATTGTGAAATTTTGTACAATATACCATATTTATTTATAAAAAAGAAAAAAAGTCAGTCACTCCGTTTCTTTGCTTTCAAGACTACTCTTCAGACTATTACTCGCGTCAGAGACAGAAAAAAAATATTATTACAAAATAATTTTACGCATTGTCATACTTTTACAGCAAACTGTACAATTTTACGAAAATTTCGTAATAATGTCTGCGCGTACGTAAGCGAATAAAGACAATGATAGTAACGAACGACATGCACTAATTACCATAACTTCGACATATAATTGTTTATAGTACGCACGTGCCAATTTAAAGCCATACTTCGATAGTAAAAATGTAAAAAAATCGTAACATAATTGAGAAACAACTAACATACAACACCGGTGTACGTTTGCAGTGAACTCAAAAACTACTGAACAGATTATCATGCGGTTTGTAAAAGAGAATAGTAATTTTTGTAGAGGGGGTATAATCGTCCAATGACTTCTCCCACCTTGGGTTAGGCGAGAGGGAGTGTCAGACTCATATGCCGGAATACTGAAACGTTACTCAATTTTAAGTCGTGCTCAAATATCGTGCCATCTCTGTCATTTTACAAAGAATTTGTAGAGACAGAACTATACTTAAGCACGACTTAAAATTGAGTAGCGTTTCAGTATTCCGACATTACTGACTAAACACCACCCCGTTCCTACTCCTGATATTCGAGCCGGAGCCCCGGTAACCCGTTAAGCCTTCCGCGACTCCGTATCGGGCATTAGCCGATGCTTGAGGTAGATTTAATATTAATTTTTGTAGGATTTAATACCGTTATCTAGGTTAGTTAGTAAATTTAAACGTATTGTTTCTTATTACTTTAATATTAAAATTGTATTGAAAAGACTAAATTAATAGTTGCCTACGCTACATCGCCGTGCCACGTACGCATATTCTAAGAGTCCCGTTGCGTCTCGAAACCAGTCGAGCTTTTCTCAAATAGTTTACGCGAATATTACAATTATTTATTTCAATACTCCATACGCACACTATTTAAGTGCTACTATTTTACAGCTCACCAAATGGCACAAGAGCAAGTAGCAATATAATTTTTCGTCCAATCACAGCAGCTGTCAAATCTTGAACGTCCGATGGTGTCATCATCATCATCATCAACAGCCTATAAATGCCCACTGCTGAACAAAGCCTCTTCTCACACGGACAAGGTTTGAACATTAACCACTACGCTTGCTCAATGCGAGTTGCCGATTTCAAACTTAAAATTAGAAATTATAAGCGCAGATTTCCTAACGATGTTTTTCTTCACCGTTTGTCAGTGGTGTCTAGATAATCTTAGAAACTACATATAACCCGGAAAAGTCAATGTTGTGACACTAGGTAATTCCCTATTGGACGAAGAACGAGAGTACACACTAGCGACATTAATTGAGGAAAAAATAAAATAGCCCCATTCTTTTGGCATTATCTCTCAGTCTACTCCAAAGTAGACTCCAACAACTCCAAGTTGGAACAGAGAATAAATGAATAGATTATTTGTTTTTTGTGCACTACCATTTATAAGTCGCAGTTATAGTATATTTAATGAGAAAAAAAATGTATTCTACTTTATCGAAACGTCCATCTATAAAGTATAGACGCTCGCGACTTGAGAAAATTAATATACCCTGTCGTAGTGGCCTCTTTCAGTATTTAACACTGAAAAGGTAAGAATACAGGGTTTTCAAGGCATAGCTAAAAATCCTGAAGCTTTCTATGATATACAATTACCTTTTAACACGTGTATGTGAACTTGAAAAATTTGGACTTTTAATTAAATTTCCCTATCAGGAATAGTTTTCATACGTAGATACAAGATCTATCTTAATTAATTAAGTGATAAAATTACATCCAGACTTCGGCTATGCCAGTATATTGTATGAAAATGAAATATACAAGGTGTAGTTTTGAAACCGTGTCATTTCTCGGGGTCATGTCACAGAAGTCGTGAAGGTTCAATGTAAGAGAAAATTTCGGGCCAATAGTTAAAAATACGGCTATAATAAATCGATTAAGTTCGACATTATTTAACTCGTCGAGTACCGGTTTTGTAGACACAATTATAGAACAATAGGTTGCGGTCACCGGTGACCGCTTGGTGTTTGACAGTTTAAGAATAAGTAACGGCAATGTTTCCTATTGGAGTTTTATGGAATTAGGAATAATATCAATTACGTGTTTGAGTTTGTATGTGTTAAGCCGCGTTATAAAGCTAGTTACAAGACGGCGGTGAGTAGTTAGCACTTACAGATTTCCGTAATTTCAAAAACTATTTAAAAATATTTACCTTCAATTTTTTTTATTGATTCGGACTCAGAATCTATAGTCGAGTTACCTCCTAGAAAATGACGCGGCTTTAAAACAACACCTTGTATACTTCAGGGAACATTGTTTTTTAACCACACTCTGGAATCTGGAAGTACAGCATGTCTTAATACGAAGTATAATTCAACACCTATTACTACGACATCAAATAGTAAAACGTGTTTTATCGAACAGTCACTTCTCCGCCGGTAGACAAGTACATATAAAAATATTCATACGACACTTATCTTAATAAATATTTAAAGGAACTATAAAATATAAAAGTCGAGAGAAATACAGGTCTATTTTAATTTGAAACGTAGAGAAACGTGAAAGAGAGTAAGGTAGAGAGAGAGAGAACGAAATATCTATCTGTAGTACAGAATAAAAAAATTAAGAACTCTTAGTAAATAAAAGTACTTGTGACATAAAAGCATGCTACTACAAAATTAAAAAAAAATGACAAGGAAAAAAATAGTTAAGCAAAGGAGCCATCTTAATGAATCAAAAAATAGGATAACAACGTAGTAGGTACTTATCACATGACTATAAAAAAATAGAATAGACACCGAAAAAATAACTCTTTAAATACGACAAAAACAAAAAAAAAATGAGAAAATTGCAAAATTTTGCAACGCACATTGCGCAACATAATAATTTCCTAGCAATTTTATATTTAAACAACATATTACAAACTAACACCAATAACAATAATTATATTTTAAAAAAAAGGGACGACCGTGCAAATATTTAGAAAAAATGGAAACAAATAATACTTTGAAATGCAAAATAAATAAATTTCTACTACACGAATGTACGAGTACAACGAAATTGAATAAATTAAAAGCAATTATTTCAATGCTACATATTGTGACGACTGACGAAAGGGCTGTTAGAGATGTACGCTCGAATACTGAAAGGCTTGTCAATTTTAAGTCATGCCTAAGTATCTCTTCTGTCACAAAAAATTCCATGTAAAATGACAGAACCGGTACGATATATAAGTACAACTTACAAGCTGAGACGCCTTTCAGTATTCAAGCATCAATGGTCTATTTCAACAGGATTCTGTGAATTTATTTAATAATCATTTCCCAACCAGCCTAACTAAAACATTTCATATGAAACACACGTTGATATCTGTAAGTTAGTCTAGCTGCTGACAGACCCCTAGGTCTAGAGGGAAAGACCTTACATTGATAGAGTTCAATTTTATTCAATTAGTAGCTTACTATTATATATTAGTAGACAGTCATTCAGTTTGATTGACACAAAACAAGAGTCATTTCAAATGTCTTCGACCAGTAAAGTCCACAGTAGTTGACACAACTAAGTCGAGACGCAACCATTTCATTCATGATCTCAGATGAGTCTGTCATTATTTCTGAATGACACAAGTTGGATGGGATAAAACATCAAAATCCATTGAAATAGACTATCCGTATTTTGTTTTGTATGCTGATTGAACCCTAATGCAAATTTAATAAAATCTTTTTTCACACGCACTTTTTTTTTATGGAATAGGAGGCAAACGAGCAGACGGATCACCTGATGGTAAGCGATCAGCGCCGTCCATGGATACCCGCAACACCAGAGGATTCACAGGAGCGTTGCCGGCCTTTTAAAAAGGAGTACACTCTTTTCTTGAAGGTTTGAAGGTCGTATCGGTTCGGAAATACCGCCGACGACAGATCAATCCACAGTTTTGCTGTGCGAGGCAGGAAGCTACGTGAGAAGCGCATAGTTGTAGCCTGCCAACCATCTATATAAGTGTTGTCATTCCTTTAAATCCTCATGGATTAATTCGGCATTTGACTACAACTTCTTACCCCCCTGGCTAGCGAAGATATGTGGCTAACTCTCTTATATAGAAGGGGCCTCGACTTCAACAGAGAACTACCACGGATTATTGATCATTATGATGTTTCTATTAATTTAGTGTTAATCCTAGGTAGCTATGTTAAATAGGTCTAAATAAACTTTAACGTTAAAGCTGTTTAACCGCTATATTAATAATATCTAGCTTATCATAGCAGAAATACATCAGCATACAAAACGAAACATCGTGAAAATCTCTAAGAGACAGCCCACATACAAAACATGCGACCTAAACGTGCTTACATTTCGAAATCAACATTTATGATGGCTGTGATCCGCGCAAAAGGAATATAATGATTCTAATCATACCAAACACTGCGAAAAAGTATGATAAATCGCTCAACGTGAGATGAAAACCTATGAAAATATTAGATTTTCAACGCAATGTGTTTATTGTGCAATGTACACATTGCGTAATGGGAAGTTGCTCAATATATAACGAAGTTAATATTGAACAATATAACAGCGCAATGAAAACACTCTACTGTATCGTATTGCGCTACATTTTTCAGAGATTAGTTTTTTAACAAAAAAAGGGGGAACGATGTTCTCAATATTATCGTATTTTTTATTTTATTACAATATTCATTATGTTGTATTGCGCCAACATAAGCATCGTTTTGCGCAAAATTTCTTATATATAATTGCGCAAAAAAAAAAAAATCATAGCCACCACAAATCTGTACCTACAAAAAATAACTAAACACAACCAGAGATTGATTTAAAATTTTGTGTATAAAAATGACATACGGGGTCCATGGTATTGAGATACAAGAGTTGGCAAGCGGCTGTATGTTGCCACATGACACAGGATGTTGCGGTTTCGCGTGAAACTTGACACATCGACGTGTGCGTCACGCGGCATTGTTGTATGCAGCAGTGTTGCATGAAGTTGCCCCGTTGAATACCCACGTTTACCTTAGATTGCCACAGTTTTCTCTTTTACCGAATTCTTTCATTATTACATGTTGCGCAATAAGATGTTTATATGCTACTATCCACGTACCGCATGATATACGCATGCTTTCGTCAATTGAAGAATGCAAGACAAATGCTTGCATCTTGAATAGAAACAGTCGAAACCGTCCACGTTACGGCAACGTCGAGTCAATCGCACATCGATGCATAATTTGCTTGTGTCATCTGAAGGATGACAGCATTCGTCAGTATGGCGTAACGTGGACAGTAGCCCTAAGTTGCACAAAATACAAATTACCCAATGTTGTATTTATGCGATGTTGCGCAACATAAACGTCATACTGTTTTGCTTTTAACATGATATTGCGCAACATTTCTCATATTCACTGCTATGTTGCTCCGTTGAATACCCCACGTATACATTAAATTACATTGCGTCAATTTTTGTACTTTAACTGTTTCTTTTATAATTACACGACTCTAAATAAACTCTAGTTAGAGGCTTAGTTATTTGGTATAAATTGACCTTTCTCTTGTTGAGATTTGTATTGAATTGGAGGTCAATATATATATTGGTTTATCTTGCCAAAATAAGTTTATAGAAATTGGAATGGTTGATTGGAAGACAATACAACTTACATCCAGACGATTGACAAATTGCATAGGTTATATAATTTATCCATGTTATTTCAGTTGTTAAAATATTTAATCACTTTTATCTCTTGAGATTTTTTTTTATGGGACAAGCCTCCTAACTCCTGTAAGCCAGGATCTACAGTAGATACAACCATGAAAACACCGGAACATTGAAGTCCGGCGCGTCCCAGGGACATGAGTAACTGTCTTGGTTCCCGCAACGAAGTGAATCAGAAGATATTATAAGAGGAGAAGAAGAAAAAACTATAGTTTCCACTTCCCTCGGTGAATTACTGCAGGAGACAGAATGAATTAAGCCTAAAGGTAATTAAGCACAAAGTAGAGACTGTACAACTGGGTGAAGCCCAGTCGCCAAGCACCACGGAAATTTGATTAAAAAACATCTCTTGGGAATGTGTAATATAAACACCATAGTGTAATTGTTTAAATGGTTGTCTTTCTTTATACAAAACAACGGTGTCTTTTTATTATTTTTGGGCCCGGAAAATGAGAACAGTTACATTTCTTTGATCGCGTTGGCGGAAACTAGTCATTAAAAATCTTAAACCAATCCAATTTCTATAAAGAAGTATCTAACAGTATTCCTTGCCATCTATTTAATAAATATACATATGTGCTTACCCGTTTATAAAATGGCAGCGTGATTTCAAACCATTATCAAGGGGTTACCATTATTTCCACATATCAATATATTTTTTTAACATGGCAACACCAAAAGGCTTAATTTTCTTTTTATGAAAATGGCAACCCCAATCACATGCTTTAAATTAATATTTATGATTATGGCAATACTTTTAATGTTAGGGTTTATGAGAATAAGCTTCGTAAACAAGCCTAGCCTATTAATAAATGAGGCATACTAGATGAATATAGCTCGTTGGTGTTGAGATAGCAATTTGTGAAAATATCTTGTACTATTATATAGAGGTAAAGCGGAAGAGTTTATTTGTTTGTTTGAACGCGCTAATCTCCGTAACTACAAGTCTGATTTGGATAATTCTTTTAATGTTGTATAGCGCATTTATCGAGGATGGCTATAGGCTATAAAACATCACGCTACGACCAATAGGAGCTGAGTAGAGCGTGTGAAACCGCGCGGAAGTAGCTAGTGAATGTTTATGACACATTCAATGGAATGCGTAGACCTATATAATGAAAGACTGGTCGACAGTAAACGTATCACAAGTTTGATTGGATAAGAAAATGTATCTATGTGATTCACAAAATACTCAAGAAGGAGAGCAGCAAAGTACAAAAGCCTATTTTTAAAAACACATTTGTAGTCCCGCTAAAATACGAACTGGCGAAATCTATTTCGACACCGAATATTGGTTTATGTATCAACTAGCTTTTACCCGCGGCGTCGCTCACGTCACAAAAGGATAAAAAGTAGCCTATGTGACATATACCAATACATACAGCGCCATCTATACCAATACATTTGTTTTCCCTCGGGAATATCAAATTTTTCCGGGATAAAAAGTACCCTATTATTTAATCCGGACTTCTAACTTTACGTCTGCAAAAATTCAAAGCAATCGGTTTATTAGTTACGGCGAGAAAGCGGAACAAACAAACTCACTTTCCGATTTATAATATTAGTAAGGATTTCTCTTATCAAAAAACAATAATACGCGCATACTCACACGCCGATGATTTTACTTATTCATTTTATACTTAATAGGTCAACGTTTGGCCACTATCTCACCTGATGGTAAGATAATAATAATACATATAATAAGCCAGTATCTCATTTATCTGGTTACAAGTTCTAGTATGGTATACTTTAGCTTCTAAACACAAACGAACTGTTATGACGTCCCTACATAATTATACTGCCTCTCAATGAAAATAACGGTAAAAATAATGAAAACAAAAAATAATTCATACACAATTCTCAAAATGTTCAAGATAAATTTTGAAAAACAAATCGTGTCAAATTTACAGCCAATTCTTGAGTAACTAAGCCATGTAATCGCCAAACTTGTGTTCAAACGGATTCGATTGTCAGCGAGTAAAAACAATTTTTGTTGTGTAAAAGATATTTTTTCGAACCAGGAAGTAAAAGTGATACTTTTTTTTAACTAAACTACAGTTTCTAGAGTAAAGTATAACTTTTTATCGTTGTTCTGTATAGTCTTAACATAAGGTAAATGTTAAAGAACAATCCTTTAAAAGTCTATTTTAATATTTTACTTGAATTTAGAAAAAAAATATATAAGTATTTGCAATTCAAAGTAAATTAATTTGAAGGTTACTGACAATAGAATAAAAATCGAACAGTTTAAACACACCTTTACCGCAAAAAAAAAATGATTTTACTCGCTGCCAACGGAAAAATTTACACATTTTTACACCACGCCAATCGGTAAAATATCAAAGGGTACATACCTCGAATTTTTCAACGGTTGTTATTGTGGGCTCCTTGACGATATTTTCGAATTTCTTTTCTTCAACGTTTTCGACTCTTTCATTAACTTCTATACTTGGAGCTTCTTCTTTTGCGGTTTCCTTGTCAGTGTCAGCTTCGGGCGTCTTCGGTTTATCTTCGGATGTGTTCGGCTGTTCTGGTTTATTTTCTTCTGGGTTTGTGCTGGAGGTTATGTCTAGGATCGGCCATTTTGTCGGTTCGAAGGCTGTTCTGACCTGTTGGAGTATTTTATTAGTTAAGTTATAATGCTATGTTTAAGTATTGACTTATAATTTTTTTCAAACTTTGCCCCACACTAGGATTTAATTATTTATTTATTTACATACTTCTGTATGTAATATACGATGGCGGACTAAAACTGTCAAACACCGCGAGGACACCGGTGACCACAACCTATTGTTCTTTAATTGTGTCTATAATGACGGTACTCAAAGAGCGCCGGGCGGCATTCTCTAACAGTCAATCATGTGTTTGGGTGTACTGTGTATGTGATATTGTATGTTTGAAAACGCACCCACGACACGGGAGAAAATTATAGTACTAGGCAAAAGTTTCATTAAAAAATATATATACATTATAATCCCCAAAATGGTAGACAGAGATGTACATAATAAATATCACACCTATCAGTTATGTTTCATTTTCTACCTTAATACTACAAAACATTAATTCCACTTTACCTTGAATCCTCCAATGAGCTGCAACTTATCGGAATCACGTATAGCGTCAAGCACGAGTTGCACGTCCGCCGTGAGCGCCCTCACGCGGTGGAAGGAGGCAATGAGCGTAACGGGGATAGTCCCGTCCGCGGCCATCTTGCGGCGTAGGAAAAAGTCGCGAGCTAAGTTATCCGGACTGAAGTAGTATTCGCTGAAAACGAAAAATAGGAAATAATGAATTATTTAAGACCTACATATAGGCTACTTGTGGCTATTGATCAGAGAATCCATAAAAATCGTCTACTTTGAATACAAATGTATAAGAAAAAATTTTAACCAAAAAAATAACTCTTTTTTTTTCTTCTATTTTCCTACTTTTTGTGTTGGATACTCCTTTTATCGAACAAGGTTACAGGCTATAAATATCACGCTATGGTAAATACTTGAAACACAGGTTGCATAAACCTAGTTCGAGCAAATCGCGACAAATATTAAAATTAGTCCTATTGTTTTTCTGTCCATAGTTTTAAGCAAAATAATTTATTATTATTATTATTATCTAGTTAATAGTCTAGCATAATTTTACTTTAATATAGTAATTAAAAAAAATATTGTAAGTGGAGTACATTCAAATAAATTATTCTATTATATAATAGTAGGCGTGTAGCAAGTAAAACAACGCGGAAGTAGTTTTTAATCACAATTTTAGACATCATGACAGTATTAAGAATATTTTTAAAACTTTAATAAAACGTTTCGTAACATGAAGTCCAAACCCTAGACTTTATGTTCAGTACCATCATAGACCAAAGGCTATAAAATTAGGAATAGATATTAATAAGTTTGTCGCGTCACCACTGCACCCGTCCCGGCTATACATCGTCGGTACGGAACGCCGAGCGACTCGGTTACTGTAGCACTCACATTCGCAGTGACTGTACACGACATTACACTCGTATACAGTGGACATATAGTGCAAATAACTAGTCTAGATGTCATTTAAAAATATATAACGATAGTGTATTTAAGTTTGATGTTCAAAAAAGCTGACATTTCTTCATTTCCAACGCTAACATACAGGATCTGGTTATATAATTGCGTTTATATGAACGTCCAACTAATTTATAACCACACAGTAGCCCTTAATAATTTGGATATGCGCCAGCAAATGATTAAGAACCCCGGTGTAGCACGAAAGTAATCGGACATCCTCGAAAAAAGAAAACATAAGAAACCTGACAGCCATTATTTACTAGACAATCTATATAACCTAAGACCGGCAACGCACTTGTAACGCATCTGGTGTTGCGGATGTCCAAAGGGGGCATTGATTGCTTCATGTATCCATAAAAAAAAACATAAAAATACTCACATTTGCTTCTTAATCAAATCCTTCAATGTGGCGTGGTCCAATCCCATACCATATGGGGTCGCTGTAGCCGCCGCTGCTCCGTAGTAGAAGGCCTGTGCCAGTGGGGGAGCTAGGGGAGCCCCCAACGCTGCCAGACCTCCGAAGGGTACCACCACCTGTGCGACTCCGGTTGCAGATACCCGTAGCTGCTTTGGGAAGGGGGGAGGGGGGGAGTATGAGTGTTTGATGCGATGTGATGGTGTGAGTTTGTTGAGAGGCGATTTTTCAATCTAATTTTATTATTTGGGGCGAGTTTTTCTTTATTTAATTTCAAAGTCAAATTCATTGCAATACTCTCAACAAAACTCACATCATAAATAAAAAATTAATGAACACCAAATAATAAAATGACACCATGTTAAAATAATAATAATAATGAAAAAAAATGAAATTAGTATGTATGGGAGACATAATAAGACATAACATTACATTTGTACCTTGAGGTGGTAGTCAGAGGTGCATACATACACCATGAAATCTATTTCGTTTCCGTCCCGCGGCAAAACAACTCGCCATAAGGAGTACTTTCGAAGTATAAAGTAAAAACAAAACAATAAAGATGAAAAAATTGTCATGGAAATACGCACATGAAACACTAGACGTAAACTTGTAGGCACTATTCGCATCGCACGTGTCACCCGACGAGAAATACCTCTTCGATAATCACATGGCGTGATGTTTTGATAATGTACTGTAATGAGTTCGTATGCGCTTTCGAAGTTTGTTGTTTGCAATACTTCACTAGTTACTCTGTTATTTCTTTGTAAAACTATTGTATTACCGAGACAGAACCATTTTACTTCGGGACGAAAACGATTTCAAGGTATACACAATGAAACACCAAATTTACATCATGATGTTATGAGTCCCATGTCATATTATTCAACACTGTTTCATACATTTTGATGATAATTGGGTACTTTCCTTAATCAAAAATAAATTATTTCGACTGTTCAATATATAAATATACTAAAAAATAATCACGCTTTCATTAATTGGTTTTATGACAAACTCAATTTTAGTATCTTTCCAGCAATTTTTTAAGAAAGTAACTATGCTGTTTGACGGTAAAAAAACGTGACGTCACAATACACAATCTCGTACTTACAAAATTCATAGAAAACTTTCGTTTTTGACAGTTCGAAAAAAGTATTGAATTTGACTAGTTGATAAGTACCCAATTGTTAATAGGGCGACAAAAATAATCAAAACTTTAACATGTTAATATAGAAAATTGTTAGTAATACATAATACGATAATATAGTCCCATTTATGAATGATTTTGATGAATATATTTTGAGTACCATGTATCAATGTTATTTTAATCCTACTATCCTACTTCCTATCCTTCTAATATCACAAATACGAAAGTTTGTGAAGATGCATGTGCGCGCGTGTGTGTGAGTGTGTTAGGGTGTGTGTGTGTGTGTGTGTGTGTGTGTTTGTGTGTGTTTGTGTGTGTGTTACTCTTTAACGTCAAAACGACTGAAGGGATCGAGTTGAAATATGGAACAGAAGTAGATTATGCTCCGTAATAACACATAGGCTACTTTTTATACTACGAAAACGTGGGCGAAACCGCTGGCAGAAACTAGTATTTTTATAGTATTAAAGTAATGAGTGAGTTATGAATGTGTTTTTCCTGTTAATGTATAGTGTAATTTCAGATTGGAGTATTTGTCATCACACCAATGTGACAACGGCAAGTACCAATGTGTCTTTTTCCGAGTTATATGTACTTTCAAAGATTATTTAGACACCACTGACAAACGGTGAAGGAAACCTAAGGTATAATTTCTAATTATAAGTTTGTAATCGTAAATTCCCCTTTGAGCAAGCGTAGCGATTAATGCTCAAACCTTCTCCGTGCGAAAAGAGGCCTTTGGTCAGCGGTGGACACTTATAAGCTGTTATTGATGATGTCACGGATTTATATCGTAACCCAAACATGAAATAATGTATTAAAATAATATGAAGCCCCTTAAAATTAGTATTTATGAGAATGAGAATGAATTATGAATTTTTAGTAAGATGTATAATAAAACGAAAAGAATGAACCCAACATATAAATAAAAATGGTACTCAAAATAAAAAAAACAATGAAAAAATCAAGGTTCTTTGGGAAAGGGGACCCGTTTTTAGGTATTTACATTATATATTATATACTTAGGTCAAGAATCAATGTGAATTGTTTATAAATATACAATAAAGTATAGGACTACAGCTTGGCAAAAAAGAGAGATGACAGCTGGAACTACTATTGACTTGGACTGAATCACCTACTGCGGACCACATCCCATGAATAAACGATCATCCGAACACAGTACCTCCTCTTTTTAAACTCGATAAAAATACAAACATACAAACTAATAATAAAAAAGCGAAATTAACTCTGTGCGTATCTTTTCTACACGCCTAGAAACAACTGAACCGATTTGTGTGAAATTTGGTACAGACATAGTTTAGAACACGAGAAAGGACATATGATAGTTTTTATCCCAAAAATCCCGCGGGACCGGGAACTTATCAAAAATCCCGCGAGACCGGGAACTTCTCAAAAATCCCGCGGGACCGGGAACTTCTCAAAAATCCCGCGAGATCGGGAACTATTTGGGTAAAACAAATATCTGCCGGTAGACACTATTCCACGCGAATGCAGTCGCTGGCAAAAGCTAGTACGTATATATAAACCCACGCCTGTCTTTCATGGAGTGGGTAGGCAGATACTATGAAAGGCTAATTGCTACGATTCTTACATACCGTTTTGGCTTCATCAACAACCTATTTCATAAAAAAAACTAATTATAACTCGATAAAAATAACAAATATCAAAACCGATTGAGTCGTAGTGTACCAGGTCCCCATAGTTACGATACAAGCGACCTCTGTACCAAACTCTTATTTGCCAATCTGTGTGTATGTATCTACGTCCGTCCAAACCATCCCACCCTCTCACTCTATTTACTGACAGTTCTGAGTGATGACACAACTATACAAGCACACAAACTGCTATTTGCTGCGGACAGATGTACTCGCACCTTTGTGGCTTGTTTATGAACATTTCACATCGACTTTAGCCTAAGTATAGTACGTAATATAAATACCTGGGAGAGATCGCGAGCAGCTATCGCGACTCACCTTTAAGTTGGGAATATACCAGCGCGACGTAACACGACAAAACTACGAGCAAAGCTGTACATATTCTTATACTATTATATATAGCAGAAGAGTTTGTTTTTTTGTTAGTTTGTTTGAACGCGCTAATCTACGTAACTACAAGTCTGATTTGAATAATTATTTTCGTGTTGGATAGCGCATTTATCGAGGATGGCTATAGGCTATAAAACATCACGACCTACTAACCTATGACCGATAGGAGCTGAGCAGAGCGTGTGAAACCGCGCGGAAGTAGCTAATATATAATATGGCACCCACTTTTCTACAGGTATGTTTGAGCCCCACGTAAGAGGAAGGGGTGTGTAGATAATGTTCCTTCTGGTAGAATAACCTCTTGTATGTCTGTATTTAAGAGACAATAGAAAACACATTGTGCCTCGCATTGGTCTACGCTCCGACGTACCAGAGGTTAATCAAACCTGCAAGTACAGCTCAAAACATAAAATTGTGTAAATAGCCGTGTTACGTCGTGTTCCGTCGCTTGTATATTCCCAACTTTATAAAATTTATTTATTCACACAAAATATCTTGTACCTATTAAAAATCAGAATTCAAATGTGTACTATCAAGATAAATCTAGTTTTATAGTGTCTACTTCAGATAGGTTGGAATATTTTGTGCATTGGACACACAGAAATTAAATTTTTAATAGTTAACATCACACAGGGTAGTAATTAGACGGTTAAGAAATCACTTCTTAGTTACATTTTCTTATTTTGTGATTATCATAAACGTCTTTGTTATGTTACGGGGATATCCAACAAGTTTCGAGTTCAACCGATGCTCGGAGCTCGAAACTAGTCGGGCGCACTCGTAATGCAATGACGTTAGTAATGTAGTTCATCATTATAGTATGTTTTGTAAGAGAATCGAACCCTTACCATATTACTATTTTTGGCACTTTTAAATTATTTTGATTTTTATCTTACCTGCGCCAAATCCGGGTGGTGTGGGAAATCATGGGCGTGATGGTATAGCGTATGGTGGTGTGGAGCTGGCAGTGATGGGAGCGCCGAGGCAGGGCGGGGTGCACCCCGGCGCCCGCCTCGGGCTCCGCCCCGGCCTCCACGGGACCTAGACCCGCCTCGCGAACGGCTCTCCTCACCGTTGAGAGAGACCGTGTCTATGGATAAACAATTAATCAAAAATTATAATTCTTATCATAAAAATTATTATCTGTGCACTGCCTCATATAGTTCTCCCCTGATGACTAAAATTACTAGCAGACCTCGCGCACTTTTGAGAGACACAGAAAACTGTCCATGTGAGTGCGGAGACCCAATTTTTCCCCCTCCCTTATCCTTAAATTCCTAACCCTCACAAGGCCAGCAACGTATTTGTAAATCATCACGCTACGCGATATCTAGCAGCTGGGAGTAGCTAGGTATATTTACAATGAACATACCGTTCTCCGGTCTCGTAGAATGTTGAGGACCATGCTTCCCGGGCCGTGCTGCCTTCACGTCGATATCCAGGGGCACCCACTTGTGCTTCCCCGACTTACTGCTGCCTTTGCCGGAACCTGGAATCATTGAAAGGGGCAATTTAGACACATCATTTTAATGAAGAATCGCTTTGTATGGTAAGCAACTTCTAGACAAAGTTGAACCAAGAACATCACGCTTGACAGTCTGACTATTTTATTAGGTGTTAATTTAGCCAGATCATTGAGTATCATGCGTTAGTCGAGCTGATTGTAAGCCGATAAATCTTGTCGAGTCAACAAGTCTGGGTAAGGAAAAGGCCCCTATATAATAAGAGGGTTTGCCATAGTCTCTGGTAAGTTGCAGATAGCAGTTTAAAAGTTCAGGTTTATCAGGGAGCGCTGCTGCCCGGTCTCTGTCTATAGTTCCTTAGTCAGGTCTTTGAGAGAGGGAGAGCCATACTTAGGTACAGATAAGCCGGCTTGACCAGAGTGATACCAGGGGCTTCACAGAAAACCGATCCACCCTCATGGGTATGGGCTAGTGGACGGCGATCATGGATGGCTCGCCGCCCGACCAGAACCAGACCCGAGCGTACGGCGTGTCGTTACACGCCGTGCGCTCGGTTACGCGCGCGGAACGTTTTCCGCGCGCGCCTCAAAAAGCCATCAGACCACCACGGATGAGTGGACCTCATCCGTGGTGGTCTGATAGGTCTGATGCCGATACCGAGCCGCAGAGTACTTAAAGGGTTGCCAGGGTTCCGGCTCGAAGGGCAGGGGTAGGAACGGGGTGGTTTTTAGTCAGTAAGAGATGATTGACCCCCTTAAAAAAGCCCTCTTGGGTATACCACACTCTGGAAGGAAGAGTGACTGATGGTGGTAATTAGTGTATTATATTATGCTCTGTACATACCTGAGCTCTTGGCTCGATCCGAGTGTTTGTCGTGGTGTTTCTCATTGTGTTGATGGTTGTGTGTGGTCTCCACCCTCTCGGGTTTAGAGGGCTGATGATGATGAGGCTCCTCTGGTGGCTTGCGGTCTTGTTCCTGAAATTTCAAAGGGAAACATGTTAATGGTATTCCTAAAAGGTTTTTATTAATCCCTATTAAATATTTTCGTGGATTTAGTATCACAATGATATTGTTCAAACCTGGAACAATGAAGTATGGATCACACAACGAGTAGGTCCATGCGGGAATTGAACCCACATCTCTTTGTGTAGTAGCCGGTCTTCCAGCCATTAATTATGGAGCAATCTCAAAGTACACTGTTACACCGATGATTATGACACATTGATATAAAAATAATTGTTTTTCACAGCAAATAATCAAGAACATCGTATAGACATTCTCAATAAAACCTATTCACTGCAAAATATTTAATGTACCCGTATTGCGTAACCCAGCATCTCTATTTGACAGAGATATGAGGCCTAAATTACGGGACGAATTGCACCATAGGACCTAAGACCACACCAAGGGAATAAGCTCCCATAAGTACTAGCGGTTGAACGCGTGGCTAACCGTCCCCTACGATTGGCCGCCAATCGTGAGGGACGGCTAGACACGCGTCGCGTTTGCCATAGCGGTTGCATTTACAACCACCAGCACCTAGGCGATCAACCGCTAGTAGGTATGGAGGCTTAACCAACGTGAAACAACACTTACGTGCTTCGTCATGTGACATGTTATCGGAGGCCAAATCATCCTCCCTCCTCGCCAATCTCTCCAATTCCCGAAATCCCTGACATTCCTCAAATTTCTAATCCCCAAAAGAGCGATAACGCACTTGTAACACCTCTGGTGTTCCGGATGTCCATGGGCGGCGCCGATTGCTTACCATCAGGTGATCCGTTTGCTTATCTAATAAAAAAAGACAGACTTAAGATTATGTTAAAACTTACAGCAGTCCCATTATGATGTGAAGAGTCTGCATCGTGAGGAGGTGGTGTAGAATGACACCTGGCTCCACCCGACACGGCAGCGCCTAATGTCGGCCAGTCTCCTATGTCGGTGAAGTCTGATGCCTGAAGACAAGGAAACAAATTGGTTTATTTCTAGCTGAAGATAGTTAAGCAAAGAAAATGTTGTTATTGAAGGAATGACGACCGTTTTTGTCAACCGAGATATAGTCCAGCTAGGCTGTAAGATGTTAACTCGAACTTTTGATGTAAGCTCGATCACATTCTACCCGCAGAACTACCGTAAAATAGACCTCTTCTACATAAGAGGGTCTCTTGAAAAGATCACCAGTCATACGCACCGTCCCGTCTGCCACTAAAGTGGTATGGACAGAGGACAAACGCTGCACGCAAAATAATGACCTACATATAAAAATAATCATTGAATTCCACCGATAAATGAGACTGTTGCATGATTTGATTATACTAAATGGCTTCATAATTGTATCTGAATAACACCTATGATTTGTATCAAAGGTGTCGTTCTAAGACACATATTGTATATTTGCACGGAATCATTTTAATGGTATAGCTAAATGAATGATAACCATACAGAACAGATGAAAAATTGTCTCCAATACTATAGATGACTATAGACTATAGAAAATTTTCTTTCGCTTGCATAATCAAAGTCATGTTACAGTTTCATTAAGATATGAAATATACGGAACTCACGTGAACTATGAGATAATAGCCCTACTAGTTTCAAGTCATATCGGGACTCTTACATAAGCAGCGTGCGCGACGGGGTGACGTCACACTCAACAGCCCCGATGTGACTTGAAACTAGTAAAGCTTTATTCTTAGATCCCGATGCCGTATATTTAATTAATTAAATTTTATTATAAATATTAGTTTGTAGACAAACGATGTTTATTCAGTTAAATGACTACTTTCAAATTCCTTTAACCTCTAGTCTGTCGATATACGAGACACATGGTGTCTGAGATCTGCGATCCGACAGTTCACAGTTTAATCGACACAGCATGCACAAAATCAGACATCAACATTTCTACCAAGAATTATAACACCAAAAACCCAGTAATACTTCATGTTTAAGGTGGAAATTACTACCCGATGTTAATCCAATATCATTAAAAATGGAGTTTCTATTAAAAACAGCCAGCATATATGACTACCTTTAGATCTGCTTCAGCTATTCCTAATTTTTACATGAGATCCATACAGATAGTGGTAAAATTATCTATTAATTAACCAAATCCAGACATAGACCGATAATTAAAACTGTTCTGTCCCCTTGTGCACTAGCGAATGACTGCTTAGGCGTTTCGTATCACCTGACGCGTTTATTTTGCGGTTGCAAAGTAACGCTAAGGACTGACGGCGCGATCTTCTCTGGCGCCCGCCGTGATTGCGGAATGGAGGCGGAATTTTCAAAACCCACGATAGCGCAGTTTTCTGCGATCCCGCAGCCGTCGCGGTTGCGATTATCTCTCGCAAACTTTGCGGTTGATTGTCGCACGACGGGCGGGCGGTTTAACAATCAGTTGAGTTCCAGACCGACCGTCCCATTGCCATCGCCCGCCAACCGATCGCAGAGCGCGCGGGTGCTAGCCGCGAACACGAAACAATCGTAACCGCCGTAGGGGTAAAACGCGGGCGCTAGATAAAATCGCGCCATGAGTTCTTAGCCTTAATTTGAAAAGCGGCCAACCGCCGTCACCGGTTAACCACGCGGTTGACCGCTAGTGCGTTAGGGATTTTGGATTAACTTCGGTTAATTTTCAAGGGTACTTAAAATCTAGCTTAACATCTAATATTTGTTATGCCCAATCACCATAATATCGTCCTTATTTCTTCGACAATACCTGACCATCCTGCTCCACCTTCGCCCAGCTCCTTCTAGGCCTGGTCTTCCTCCTGGCCGCTACTCCAGCAGTCATAGTACCTAATACTATGTCCTCAATCACTGTATCATCTTGTAGGTCAACAGTTTTCGTACTTTCTCCCGATAAAGTTGTGCTTCCCTGTTACGAGTTGAAGATTTTAGTCTTTCGATGTCCTTGGCGATGAAATTTTCTTTGAGAAGATTTTTATTCACTTTGTACTACACTTCAGTTCGATTGTCAGTTTTGATCTTTATAGGATTTGTAATAAGGTTAAGATTGTATTTATCGTTCTGGTGACATACGTAAGAGTAAAGTAAAAACAGCATGTACTAATCTAACTGTAGCAAGATTACCACATGCAATAAATTTAATTCGTAACTGTGATATGAAGGTTTTAGTCAAGTTTTGAATGTGTACGTATCGCTACTTTCTTTGCCATTCCCTTCTCAATCATCAATCTCCTTTGACTTTATACTTCATCATCTTACATACAAAGCCACATACTTTTCACAGTCACAGAATATTTTGTATATCTTCAGAAGATGTCTATGGATTACGTGAATTAAGAATACCCTTAAAACCAACTAATCCAATACCAGACTTCGTAATACCATGTCTTTAAGTATCGCAATTGACACCTCAAAATTTCAATTAGAAATTTTTTGGTACCAAACAAAAACTATGAGATAATTATGTGAGTTAAAAATTTTTTTTTTAAGAATACGCAAAAAGACAAAACTCAAAAACATTACCGTATTCAAACAGACAAACTAATACAAGGCAACATTAATAACCTACTTAAATAGATCAAATCATTCGAAACGGACACTTCGACGCAACACGTAGACAAGAATTTCTTAATCAAGGAAATACATTAAAATGCAAAGTCAAAACTAGTTCTATGACATTTTAGTTTAAGTTTTAAATATTAATTTGTGGTCGTTCCGTCATTTTGGCCCTAGCGATTATTCATAATTTATTGAAGAAACAAAAGGTCACTCGGAGACCAGATATTAAGTATCATAAAGTTGGTGTCTGTGAAACATAATATGATTTAAGACTAGTTGGGTAAAGGTCAAGACCTAGTTCTCCTATAGTCAGTCTAAAGTCACTTGCCTAAAGATTGCGTCCTATCCTACAATGCAATACGAGTTTGTGAGGTTGACGACAAAACTACTGGCCATAATAGAGATTTTGGTACACAAAACAGACAGTCTCAAATAACACATGGGGTGATTTCATCCCGGGACGCGGGCGAAGCCGTTAGCAGAAGCCAGTAATGTAGATCTTGAACCCTTTAGAGGTAGACTAAACCAATCTTAATATTAACAGAGAGAAAACGACGACGATATAAAACAAACCTACATATTATATACATCACTGAACTTATTTCGTACTCATACCTTTTGAGAAACCACTTGAGAGTTCGAGAGTTCACGCACCGAATAAAAAAACTCAGTACCTGATTTGCCTACACTAACTTTGATCTGGACAAGATTGATCATTCATTTCTACAAACTAAAGATGACGACAACATGAACATAATAAATGAAGTACTTACAGTTCAAACTCTTATGCCACACATAATCAGAATATTGACATACAAGTATTGCAACTAAAAGCACCTAGTTACTCATTAAAACAAGCTAAATAAGTTGCACCGTTTCGTCATAAGCGTCTGACAAGATAAGCCTTCTTAAGCAAGTGGGTTCTAAAGATAGATATTTGATAATACTTGTGACATATAAATTATATGTTGATTGATTGAGTTGTAATTACTTGTGAGGAGAAATAAATGAAGTTGCTTGAAGAGTGGCTTGTGAAATGAGGGTGTGCCGCAGGGTTGTGTATTGAGACCAGTGCAAATGTTAACTGTAATATTATGTAAACTTGCATTGTTAATTTCCTTAAGATAATTTAGTAATTATCTGTTACTGATAAGGATATTAACAATGCATCCATTTTTTTTTCAAACAGGTGCTTATGTTATGTTACACAGATAAGATAGGTAATTTGGTGTAGACGCACTATAGTGTATTGCACTTTGGCGTCAGTTAATAATTAGCGAGGCAATTATGATAAAGAGGGCTTTAAACAGAAAATGTAATTCATAACGTAAACAGACAATAGGAGTGCGTTCTCAGCCCACACTTTAGGAGGATATTGAAGGTTATGTTACCTTATATTCATTATAAAAAAAACCTGATGATGTTAACGAAACAAATTAAATAAATAACACACTGGTCATCATGGTTAACTCGTTGCTAAAGAGGTCACAAGTGCATCAGCTGAGCATAGATCTCAGGTTTGTTTCCAAGTTGGTTTAAGAAAATATTGATAACTTTAACATGCGATATATATTTGTTACTTCTACGAACTCTAGAAAACAAAACACTCAATATTAATCTATTGGTACAAAGAAATTCCCTTCATTAAACAGGAAAATACCCTATAAAATTGATACTAACAAAATTACTGCATATGTGATTAGTGATTACACACAACTTCGAGGCTACGAAACTACATACGAACGTCGGAAAAAAAACGAAAGTGTCATATAACGAATAGACCTTTTCACCTATAGATAAAACACAGCTGTTTCTTAACGAAATAATTTCGATATAAAACCGGTTTTTCAAACGGAACCATTACTAAACTACCGGGCTACCTGACATTTATACTAATACTAGCTATATTCGCGGTTTCATTCATACCTCGGTTCCTATCGATCGTAGCGTGATGTTTAATAGCCTGAAGTCTTTCTCGATAACTATCCAAGATAAAAATAATTACTCCATCCGAATAAAAAAATCTAGATATCTAATAACGCCTTTACCAACTCTTCGGTTTCAAGTATTAGTGGCTACTTCCGCGTGATTTACTCGCTGCTGCTTGGGTCCTATCAGTTGTAGTGTGATGTGATTTTCCCTAAAGCTTTCCTCGATAATGTACTAAGAGGATTTTTTACATTTAAAACACTAGTTCCGGATATTATCACATCTATATATATATAAATGAAACCCGTTTCCCGTTGTCAAATCATAACTTGAGAACGGCTCGACAGATTTGGCTGATTTTTTTTTGTTGTGTATGTTATTGTCAGGAGCAGGTTCTTAGGACAAAAAAAATACTGAAAATCCTACGGGAACGGGAGAAAACGGGGTTGCTTGCGGGCAGAAGCTAGTTATTCATACAAACACATAAACAAAACAATCA